AAGTATAATACATACTCCAAGTATTGAAATACACGCCATCGTGTTGGGATTCAATATTTCGACATTAATTATGTCATCATCAGGAATAATGCTACAATTTATTATCAGGAATAATGCTACAATTTATTACTATGTCATCATCAGGAACAATGCTACAATTTATTACTATTATGGGATACTAAAATGACAACCAACTCTTTAGTGACTCAAGTCTAAGCGGGGATGGGCATGTTATTAAAATTTTGGTTTATAGGCCTAAAGTGGAAGATGTTACAGCCTCCTCCTTTTGAAGCTTCATAAACACAGTAGACCCTTAATGTCAGACTCCAGAGAAAAAAATAATTGTTGGTATTTTTTCCTCTGAAGCATGATTTTAAGCTTCATAAAAACAGTAGAACCAATGGAGAAACCTAAATATAAATATAATTCTTTTTAAAGGACCAAATACTGGGAGGTGACTCATCAATTTTATAGTACATGTTATATTAAGCAATTTCAAATTTCTTCATGATTCAATACTTTTAATGAATAATTTTAGCATTCAAATTTTACAAGCAATTAATAGGTAAATGAATGCCAATAATTTAAGAATGCGAATCATACTGTATATACATCAAATTAATGAAATGCTGTTTTGCCAAGTAACAATAAAAAACAATCAGCAGATATTTTCGCTTTGTGAAGCACTAGCACAGAGAGCCAACCAACTTTAGTTTCTTAAAATATGTCCAATTTATGAGCTAGTTCATATTCTACACTCCTACAAACTTATATACTATAACTAAAACTATATGTCAACATCTATTTTAAGAGCATAATATGCTCTTAAAATAGATGTTGACATACAGTTATATTGATGTTGACAATATAATTGTGAGTTTTAATCCTACTTTTGTTCTTTGATTTTGTCATTTCTAATCAATGTGATGACTAATTTTCACATTATCCCCAAGAATTAATCCTAAATTGGTTTTCTATCCTTTTTTACTCTCCTGGTGGCACCAGTCGGGATTGAGGTATTGCCTGTTTCCACCAATGCTACAACAGGATCATCGGACTAAAACTATTTGTCTATCCAAACAAAGTTATTTTTTGTGGTCTAAAAGCACAATTTTGGGCCACCCTAAACCATATAATCTCTACCCATGAAACTTGCCAGGGATTTTATTCCATTACCCTGATCAAGGGTCTAGGCGGCCCTTTGTTTTGACCTCTCAGAATTGTTATAACCCCTATTTGCAAATTTTCTGGTGCCACCATTGCATACTGTACATATTCCATTTTTTTTCTTATGAAGCACAAGTCTCTCACATTTTTACTGAAAACATGTGAAGTTCACATTGTCTTTAATACATTGTTATACATAATGTATACAGTGGCTAAAAATAGTTACTATATATATATATCTGATATGCACTGAAATAATTGGTATGCTTAGATATATAAAAATGCACAATACATATTGAATTAATCATCATTGCAACAAATCTTGTGTAAGGTAACAGTGTCTATATACAATTTAATGCAGAATACATATGCATATTTACATCAAATATAAATATTAACATAGTAATATAAATAATAATAATAATACTTTTTTTAAAATTTGTCATGGAATTGACAGTAATGAGTTTGCAAAGCCACAAATGCACTGTACCTAAAAATATTAATTCACTTTGATTGGCATTTTACACAGGAAACTGATTCTATTGATACATTTTGTAAACTTAAAAATTAAAACTAGATAATTTGAATTGGAAGCCTATGAAATTATAGAATAAATTCCAGTATAAAATAGAGTAGAGTAACAATAACTATCAGCCTCTTCAATATTACTTTGGCTAAGTCTCTTAGGCACTGTAAGTACAACCACAATACTGTAATAAAATTGATTCCAGTAAAAATAAAATACAGTAACAATGATTATTCTTAGCCTCAAATTTGTAATATTACATTGGCGAAATCTTTTAGGCATTGTAAGTACAACCATGTTATAGTACTATAATAAAATCTATCCAGTATTAAGGTAGTTATCTTAAGGTGCTTAAACCCTAGTACTGTACATTTAACATTTCTTAAAGGTTTGCATGACTGAATTTAATTTCAAACATTATTAACGGACTGTTTAAATGGGCACCTTAAAAATAATAAATTTTTGCAGTTTCTATACAATTTTGGAATATTATTATCATTATGTAAAAATTATTAGGCACTGTGTAAAGTAGATACATCCATTTACAAACCCTCTCACACATCCAGGTACCATAGGTACAGAAAAAAAAACAAAAGGGAAAATTTCCACCCTTTCCTTCCAGCCTCTAAACCTAAAAATCCATACAATACATGAAATAAAACATATGTGTACATAAAATTTAAGATTGTAAGCAGCACTAACAAATCTGTTTAAGATATTAGAACAAGTATTGTACCCAATTTACATGTACATGTAGTTAAACACTTGGGGGTGTGACTGATACTCCCCCACCCCCCACATGTTACCTAGTTACAATTATAAGCTTCTTGAATAACAGTAACTGTTAGTAATGGTAATGTATTATAATGGGAATGCATAGTAATGGTGAGAAGTGTTGGTAAATGGTAATGGTTGGTAATGGTATTTGTTGGTAGAGGTAAGGGTTTGTAATGGTTAGAGTTGGTAACAGCAATTGTTGGTAATGTTAAGTTTTAGTACTGGTTAGAAACTTATTACTGTGCATAATACATAGTATACATGTGCTACTAAAGTAAATGTACATCTATCTATCTTATATGCAGGACACTAAAATAAAGTCTGAAAATAACTTATATAATACAGAGGAAGTGACACTTTTACATCATTTACCAGTAATTTAAGACCATGACAATCAGTATTCACAATGTCATCTGCATTGTATATCTATCACCTTAAACTATATAAATATCTACTGTATAAAACATTGTTACAGTAAAATTTAATTTTCTGAACCTTTTTATAAAATGGAACAAAGAAAACATGGGCAATTACATTAACAGAAACAACTGCTTCAATTCAAGTTGGCAATGGGTTTATTTGCTCGAAGGGCCCAGAAAACACTGATTATTTTTTCAGAAGAGGCACGAAGTGATTTGGATGAAAAAGTTCATCTTCACTAAGAGGTGTGTGCCTAGACCACATCACATAAACTGTTATTGGGTTTTCAATACTTAAGTCACGGGGTGGGATTAGTGCGTTTAATGGGTTTTGATCGTTGGTAGGATAGACAGTCTGAATGTTGCAGCCCAGCACAGATGCTAATCCAAACAGCTGTATGGAATTTCCATGCAAACTAAATGGTAAATTTTCATTCAAGGTATCCCTCACACAACCCTCATAAATTCCTTCGATCGCACTATAGCTTAACTTGTTATCATCCTCCATCTTGGTCAATGAATACTCTGCTTTTATACATTGCATGAGTGATTTTTGGTGTAGATAATAGTCCTTATGGTAGCAGAGTTCAATGAAAGTACGTAGACGTAACTGGCAGCAATGATTTGAAGAGCCAAATGCTATGATGGACGCAGTGGAGAACAAGCAATTACCATTGTTGGCAACCACAATCGCCGTAAGAGTTTGAAGGTCAGAATTCATCAGAGTATTGGCATACTTATCAATTTTAAGGTGTAAATTATCACTTAAATTTGGAAATTTTTTGAGACGCTTATATTTGGGGAGTTTAAGTTCCACCCCGCCACAGGCAAAGCAAAGTTGTTGGAAGCCGCCATAGTCATTATCTCTTATCTGTTTGGTAATAGTATACCATGTGTTCCGGTCGGTCCAATCCATCTTATCAAATGCCGCTAAAAACAACAAAGAAAACATTTCATTAAAAATTTTGAAGTAATAAAAAAAAATTAATTTACTAAAATACAGTAATGTGATTTACAATAGTAAAATAACACACTTAAGATAATAAATCAAACTATGATTACATTTTTAATTAAAAAAAAAAAAACCAATAATGTTCTTACAAATTTTTACAGAATGTTTAAGTAAAAAAAAGATTGTAAAGAAACATAATATACTTCAAGGAAATTAAAAAAAATAATCTATAACTTCAGTAAGGTTTAGTTTTAAATAACCATACATTACAGTATTTGTAGTGGATTATTAAATTAAAAATAATTTAATCAGTGCTCATAACATTTTAATTTTCAGTCAAAATACACACATGGACATAGGCCTAAATTTAGGATTTGTTATTTAGTTTGATATCTCAACATGTCCAGCATTAACTGTAAGCCAATAAAAATGTTATAACACACCAAATATTAATAATTTCACTATACAATATGTTGAGCTAATTTGATTTTTAAAGATGTACTAACATGTATCAACTTTGATGTTTGTGTCGTTGCTTGATCTTCTTTTCCAGAAAACTGACTCATTCTGCGGAGTTGTTGGTGTCACTAAAAACATGAGAAAGATGTATGATAAAAAGAATAATAAAAATAATAATAACAGTAATTACAATAGTAATTAAAACATATCTCCCAGGTCACATACTTACCCAGAACACACAGAGGAAAGCCAATGTAAAAATTGTACATACAAAATAAATTTTATTCTCTGTTGGCAGTCATAAATTGCAGTTATAATGCTAACTTACCTGGATAAAGTTCTCTATCTGGCCATAAGTGAGTTGCCTCTTGTGGTATTCCAACATTTACAAGTGCTTTAGCTAATATTTTCTTAGTAGCAACCACACCTTTTTTGTCCAGCCACAAATATAGAATTTCGTAATTTTGTCTCACCAAGTCCGATTTGTGGTTGTGCTCAATATTTTCAACTTCACCCTTATGCAAGTCCAGCAGTCCAGCAACCAATATTCCCTTGCTACCTATCTTGCGTGAGAGTACGCTAATATGATCTTTTGTGACTCGACTTGCATCACCTATAAATCAATGATAATGATGACAATTTATGAAAGAACAAGGCACATAATATCATTTTTGCACTTCCAAGTTGAGAATACATTCCCTGTTCCTTCCGGAGTGATATCTAATAAATACCCATTTACGCCGGATTCAAATACTGCTTTTTAATTTCTGTGGGAATTTTAATTTTTGTTCTTATTGTGACAATTACATTCAAATATTGTACTGCATTTCTTCACTTTTCTGTAATAAAATATAGTAAGTGTACAGTGGATACAACAATTTATGTTTATTCTGTTAAAAACCTATATAATAAGAGTACTCCTAAAATACCCCTTCTTGTTCCATTTGATCTTCTCACCAATGCCCTTTTATCTATTCCCCAAACCAAATCAGGGGTGGATCCAGGAATTTGAAATAGAGGGGGCCCAGAGAGGGACTTTGACAGATGGAAGGTTTATATATCCTCAGCCCCACCATGGTTGGTGCTGAGGTAAGAACATTTATGATTATGGCACCTCTAGATGGTCGGAAATGGCACTCTCAGACTTAAAATTTGAATACAATTTTCTTTATGTCTCCAATTTTTAAAAATTTACAGGGACCCCGGCTAGCTAGTGCCCCCACCCTTGAATCCGCCACTGCAACTTAAAAACTGTCTGCAATAGATCTTTTAATTTTGTAGCTACTACTTTCTTGAACTCTCTAGAGAATATTCACTTTTAAAGCTCACATAAAAAAAATTACTTTTTAAGGAAACATCATAACTTTTAGTCATAAGCGCATGTGATTTTAACATTGTTTATAATTTTTGCTATAAAAATGTTCAATTTTAATTATTATATAAATAAATGAAAACAAAAAAAAACTTACTGAAGCACCAATCAGGTAAAACAAAGGTTTCACTGGCAGTGCTCTGAACTTCAGTATCCTCAGGCACTGGTGGAAGATTGGATGAACTTAGTCGTCTTCTTGACTTTGGTGGTGGGCCTAATTTCACAACTGAAGCACCATTTTGTACATTGCTTCCAGAGGCAGAATCGTTCCTGCCCTGGTTCAGTAGGGGCTGCGCTTCAGCATCTAAATTTAATAATGACAAAAGTGAATTCACTATCATGCAAATATTTTCCTATTACATAAATTTACAATAATGTCTACCATTTTATGCACCAGTTGGATTACTGAAATTGATAGATTGTTGAAAAACATCAGTTAATACTATCAGGGAATGCTGCATTACATTAGCCAAAAAGAAAAGCAGAAGAGAATTTGCAATGCACTTGGTGCATAACACATCAGTCCACTTACTCGGAATGCCATCAGCTACATCAGCATTCTGTTGATTAGTATTCTGTTCATTAGACGAATTAATATCTGAGAAATTAAGAAAATAATTAAAGATGATTTTCAACACAAAGTTTAAATACACACATACATATACTGTATACTTTAGTCAGCCCACCCTTTAACTTTTGCCTTTCATGCAAATCAATGATAAAGATATTTTACTGAAACTGATATGCAAAATAGTGGGCATATGTAAATCCAATACCTCTATTGTCTTCAAAAATTGCAATTAGGCCTGTGTATATGGGATGGGAAATTTTATTATTTTCTAGAAGTCCTCAAAAGCAAACTGGCATTTATTGGTTTAATCACAAGAAAAATTCCACAACATACCACGCAAAGCAATTCTTTCTTCGTTTTGTCCAGAAACAGCATTATTTCCATTGGTATCTGTTTTAAAGATTAAATAAACAAAAAATACATGTGTGTTAATCCTGCAAAATCTATGTTTTTTTTATTACTATATATCTTTGAAATATTTTCTTTGGTCTATTTAAATTCCAATTATTATTACTTATTAGTATGATTGATTCCAGTATACATGCAACAGCAATTAAAATAATAAATAAAGATTTTTTAATCCTTACCCCGGTATTCTTAAAACGAACTTTAGTCGTAGTTCGAGCTAAAACTTTAAAATTATGTCATTTCGTATTCTTAAAACGAACTTCGACTAGCACTACGACTAAATGACGTGAACCTCGACTAAAATGATACCTCCGCAGGTCGATTTTTTTAGTCAGCCTAGGGTCAGGCTAAATCGCCGACTTGAAATATTTACCCCACTAAAAACGTGTTTTTTGTAACTCACGATAAAGTAAAACGAATAAAAACGATTATATACGCAGGTTTGATATATCTTTGTCTAAACAAAAGAGACACCAAGTTTAGCTTCTGGAAGGAGAAATTAACATGTTTTGCTGGCCACATGCGATAGTTCCTGATTTGCACGAAATCCCCTCGCGTTGCGATCACGT